TCAAACAAGAAAAGGAATAAAAATTGGAATCAGTAGGAATAGCATTTCATTTCAAGGAAAGGAAGGAAAATCCAATAGGAATGRAAGTAGAATTACAATTCTACCCAACTAAATAGTTGAAATCAAAATAGTTCATTCAAATGACATAGGGGCTCGTTTGAACTATTACAGATACAGATATATGTGACTCGACTCGGCAGAATTTCAGGGTTGACTTGTCAAGTTATAAACAATTCTAATCCTGCATTCATACCTCATGTAAAGACCTTTGGTGAATAAGACCTCTCTGATATGATATCTGAAAAACTTATCATCAGCCAACTAGAATCAATAAACATGGTAGCCAATCAGAGATTATTTATCAAAATTCATGGGTGGGTTTTGATTGGTGAAAACTCTTTCCATACCATGTCTTTCCAGCATCATAGGTTTTCCCTTTATTTTGATATGTTCTTAACAACAAGSAATGGGACATTGTCAACTAGGTGTTCTGGAATTTGTGAGGCTGGGCTCAGCATAAATAAGCATTGAGTACGAGGCAGTGTATGACATTGCTCTCGATAAAATCGATTAATTGGCTTCTTGTATTTGAAGATGTTTTGCTTGCATCTTTCTGTATGAAAATGGAATGGATTTTAAAGTGGGTAATAACTAATAGACTCTGGATCTCCTGCCCACGTCTACCCATAATACACTATCCTCATGATACTATGTAAGAGGATGAAATGTTCTCCATGTATGACTGTGATATTATGTGAGTAAACATGAATAAAATTTGTGTGGGCAAGAGTTTGGAACTCTAACTAATAAGCTCTGAATAGAATCAGATTCTTAAAAGGTCAGGTACTTCAATTCAAAGATCAAAACCCAAAAGCTAATTACCTAATTATCTCGCTCCGGCCCGGCCCAGTCTGCCCGTTTGATGGGCCACGGCTGGGACTCAGAACCTGCTAGCCCTTTAGAATCCGATAGTCCCACCCCAGCTAGTAGACTGACCTGAGCTTTACTGGACCTTCATTTCTCCGGCCCATCTCAGCTAGTTAGTGGAACTAATGATAGATTGGGCCTAAGTATTAAAGCAATAGAGGAAGGGCATGTTGGGTCTTGTTTGTTTCTTATACGTTTTAGTGGTTTGTTGCCTTTTGCAACATTCTTCTTATTGCTTTGTCCAACAATGTTACTTTCTTTATCTCCTTGCTATTTAACTAAAGACCGATAAGCTTATATCTTTCTTTAGGCTCAGTTTGGAAGGAGCACAAGTGCAAATATGTAGAGTGTAAAACCTTATATTTTATAGGGAAAATTCCCGATAGGTAACTTGTACTTTAGGCCAAGTGCCAATTTAGTATCTGGACTTTAAAATAYCACAAATTAGTACCCGAATTTTCATTTTGCGACAATCTAGTACCTATTGTTAATGGACTGTCAGTTTTGTATATCACGTGACCTCATGTATGATTTAAGACTTTTAAAAATRTCAAAATTACCCTTGGACACTGTTCATTACCTTCTTTCTCAAGAAAATGAATATCAGGTTTTGGGAACCCAAATGTCTTGATGGAGGTGAAAACTCCATCCACCACCAACTAGACATTCTTTGCCGCACCGAAGAATGCTTGCAGCAATGGCTGAGTGCGCAGGTGGCTCCCTATTGCCTTAGCAACTTACACCATAAACCATAAGTCTTTGACATCGATCTCAACCACACTGACATTGCTGGGTATCTGATACCCAAGCTTGGCCTCTTAATGGATCTGGCTAATTGGCTCTTTTCCACCTCAACTCCAACCGTTTTTGCGGCATCTTCCCAAATACCATTTTTACGAATCTGGCTCTTTGATAAGGACTTGAACAACCACTTCCGGTTCGGCATTTTGAACAACCTCGGAAACTCCCCCATTTCCATCATCATGTTATCCAACAACCTCGGCGGTTGCATCCCCAAGGCCTGCTTCCACCCGCCATTGGGTAGATGAAGAGCTTGGAGCAGTTCAACATGGCTTACAATATGTTTACTGGGGTTGTATTGGCGGTAGTGTTTTAGCTGCCGAGATTGGGATTAAGATGTTAGTGATGGAAAAGGGTGGTGGTGGTGGAGGAACAGTGGACGACATGGGGGAGGGGATGCAATGCATTGACCATCTGTACATAAACAATCCGGGTGGCATCTGCAGCTTCTACTTACAAGAGAAGCTGGGTAAGCTACTCTCCGGTAACAAAAGAATTCAACAGATCGATCCCAACTGATCTTGGCGATTTGAAATCACTTCCAGAATCCTACTTACTCCCATGTTCATCTGTTACATAAGGCAACTCGGGCTAGACTTCTGGTGGTGGTGATRGTGGTTGGGAAGTATGACTTTGTGGCAAAGGAGGTGATTCTATGATGCACCCAAATGGAGGTGAGAGAGAGATAGAAGCTTGTGGTGGCGGAGCACCACTGGTTTGAGGTGGGTAGAATTCTTCTGGGGGTGGAGGCGTTGTATAAATGATGGGTTGGTGGCGGCACCCGAATATGTGGTGGAGGTGGCGATGGTAGTGTATAAAGGTGATGGGTTGGAGGAGAAGGAAGATGGGGAGGAGGTGAGGCGTAACCGAAATGATGAGTTAGTGGCGGTGGTGGTGGTGGTGATGTGTAAGGATAATGATGGGTTGGTGGTGATGTGTAAGGATAATGATGGGTTGGTGGTGATGGTAGGTAATGTCTAATAGGAGGCTTCTGCTTAGTCTGGTTAGTTGGATGTGGAGATGGAGGTTGTCATATAATAGGCTGCTTTGTCTTCGGTGGTTCTCCTTTGGACATGGTTAACTATAGCGGAGGAGGCTTGAAGAATCTGGGCGAGTGGGCCGAACTTGGCGGTGGGGGTTGCGGCTTGGGTGTCATTGCTCCCGATGCAAGGAAAGGAGTAGCACCACCCTTGCTGCCACTAGTACCACATTTCAACTTGTTGCAGTCAACGTGTAGTGCAGCCTTGGAAGAGCACTCCCTTGAAGATTATTGATTTGATTTACCAAGAATGCAGTTCTTCTGGTCATCAAACAAAACCCCTCCCACACCGCCGGCGATCATCGTAGTGCACTTCGGTGCTTCATCCGTGAAGTAGTTAAACAAGTATTTAATTGTGGAAGGTTGGGAGTTTACACAGAGGAGTAAGATTGGGAGTATACACTTGAAGGGCATTTTTGTCTTTTTGCATGTTATTTAACGGCCGATTAACGCCAGGTACTAGATTGTCACAAAATGAAAGTTCGGGTACTAAATTGTCACATTTTAAAGTTCGAGTACTAAATTGGCACTCAGCCTAAAGTACAGGGTACTACATATTTGAGAGGAAAACCAGTATTTTCGTTATTTCCCCCACCCCCTAAGTTCAAAATGAGATTGGTTTCAATGAGTGTAAGGCATGTTCGAACACCATTTACAGCCTTGCATTGGGAATATCTCCTTATGTATGGGGAGATATTCCCAATGCAAGGCCATAAAGGCTGTTCGAACGGGCCTCACACTGACCGAAGCGGAGGTCCAATAAAATGCCATCAAAACATCCATACATAAATGTATACATCATTCAAGGAAAAGAATTTATAGCTTGAATAACATCCAAACTTGATGGAACGGGCCTCACAATGATTGAAGCCGAGATCCTTTGTTTTGCAACAAACACCCCTGTGCTATGACCATGAGACAAAAACCCCCTTGACCGTTAAGTCAGATGACGGAATGCATTAGATTACCAAAATACCCCACTAAACTTTTTCTATTTTCTTTTTTTCCCTTTTTCTCTTAAAACCTATTTAACCTATTATTTTCTCTTTTTCTCTTCTTTTACCCTCTCTCACCATCCTCTCTTATTCTTTCTCTCCCAACTCTCCGAAAAGAAAGGGCAGAGGAAACCCATTTCTCATATTCCCTTTCTTCTCTTCTCCGTCTTCAATCAATCTTGTCTCTATAGCCATTGTCAACGATGCTGCAATCATAGAAAACTAGAATGCTTGATAGACCAATAACAGATGTCTGCCCATATCACCGAGAAGATCACCCAACTTGAAGCTCTTCCGTTCAAATTCAATCTCAAAAGTTCCATTACTTTCGCCCATCTCCGCCGTCATTGGATTAAAAGGAGTGGAATGAAGCAAACAAGGGGGTCTTGCGGAGCCGCCTTATAACAGACCCCATAGGAGTGGAATTTCTCCAGTTCGCTTGCTCGTAGTGTTGCAAGCGAAGGACTTCTATTTGCGGACTCACTTCCACCGCCTAAGACTGGTTCCATCTCTATTTCAGCCACGAGTTGGGGTCCGTCGTCTCTGTCACAGGAGTATATCGTTGCATTGTATTCCACCGTTTTCTTCCTCTTTGTTTCCCTGTTTTGTTCTAATAAGCTACTCTTTAGTATTAAAGTGAAATGCTGTCGATTCCGTTTATACTCTATCACATTGAAAGACTTTTTGTTTTGCATTTCATTTTTTGTTTTATTCTGTCTTATGTTGGTACTCGATTTTCCATCTGCAAACTTCTTTCATCTTTAACTCGTGTTATTTTTTCGTGGAAGAAACAAGAGTATCATGGAATTAGAAACCAAGTAAAAAGGAATGGAAAAACATCATTTCACACATATAATTTCATTTTTTGGGGTAGAAACGACAACATCATTCACTTAGAAACATACAGAGGGAGTGGCGAGACGCCATCGGCTTTCTCGTTTTTTTCCCTTTTTTTTCTCTAAGGTGGATATGAGAATATCATTGATCATTAATTCGTATATAATTTAGAAACAAACTTTTGAAGGAAGGGAAGGATAGTATGGGAAGGTCGGGAAAGATGAATAGTAATTTTCTCGTTTAGTAAATATAAGGGTAGTATGGGAATTAAAAAATATTGTAACGGTTTTTTTAGACAAAAAAAAATTAACGGAAGGGGTCTTTGTTTCACGGTCATAATACAGGGGATCTTTGTTACAGACCCCATAGTGCGGGGGGGTTTTTGTAATTTACCCAATATCAAAACATAAATGTAAACATTATTCAAGGAAAAGAATTTATGTACAAGCATGGCGAAACAAGAGAATACTACAAAGATAGAAACTTAGAAGAAAATACATCTTCTGTTCAAGGGAATCAGCCAAAAAAAAAAAACAACAGTCAGAGAGAAGGCTTCATTTCAGGGCAGGCCGGAAGCAGCCAGCAGGGATCTACTGAGGGTTTGGCGGGCGACTATTGGCAGCAGAAACCCTGGATCCCCATTGAAGTAGCTCTTTGCTCGTGTCATCCTTGTGAAGGATAACCTCTATGAAGCACAAACAATCTTTCTTATCTCCTGTTGCCAATTTGATCGCTTCTACTAGCTCCTCTTCACATCGCACCTGCAACACCGAATTCAACAAATAAGTAACTCTCATTAACCATTTCGCTCCCCAGGCCATTCAGAGTCATCTCAGAAAACATTTATACTCCAACACCTGAACGCTTTCAGATCGATAAGACCTACCTTAGTGGTCCAGCACTTTCCGTCGCCATTGCAGATTGCATTCATCAAACCAGTGCAGTTCCAGTTCTTAATCACATTGTAGGGTCCATCATGGATCTCAACTTCAATGGTGTATCCACCGTTATTTATCAGGAATATGATGCTCCTTTGCCCACAACGCAGCATTGTCGACACATCTTGTGCTGTCATCTGCACGTCAAATCATTTATTAGCAGCTGTAGATTCATATATATGTAGTCACAAGTCACAACAATGGTTAGAAATATATATGGTAGAGATWGTGCAGGAACAACCTGAAAGCTTCCATCACCAATGCAAGCAATCACTCGCTTATTTGGCGCTGCCTGCGCATACCCAAGCGTTGCACCCACTGACCACCCAATTGATCCATATTGCATCTGGAACTCGTAACTGCAATAATAAACAACAATAGGTCTTGTGTTGAGAAGTTTCTGACTAGATTTCTACGTATGGATCGGCAGCTATAAGTATGAAATCAGGAAGCTTAAGCTTTCTCTCATTAGCTTACCCGCAACCTTGTGGTAGTTTCAGTTTCTGACAGTTAAACCAGGAATCTCCTGTCTCAGCAATCACGGCGGTATCACTTGACAACATCTCCTGTATGTGCTTGAAAAGGATGTTGGCCCTCAATGCCTCCTTGGGCTCACACCTGAGCGGAAGCCCCTCCGGGACCAAAATTCGATGGTAGTTGTCGAAGGCAGTCGTGTTGCATTTAAGCCTCTTTGCAAGGGCCTGGAGGAAGTCCTTCATTAGAATGCAGCCGAATGTAGGCCCATCTGCAATCACCACTCGATGTGGTTCTACTATTATTGCTTTCTCTTTCTTGAGAAGTAGCGAGTACCCAACCGAGCTGTAGTCATTGAAAATTGGCCCAGCGAAGATGTAAGCATCAGCCGATTCCACAATTTCCGCACAGAATGGGGTGCTCACGGCGCCCCAGTAGGTCCCGATGAAATGAGGGTGGTGTTCTGGCACCAGACCTTTCGCTGAAGGCATCACGGCAATCGGATAACCACAAGCATCTGCAAGCTCAACGAAGGCATCACAGGCTTTCGCAACTCGGAGTTTTGGACCACCCACCATGATTGGCTTCACCGCCTTGTTCAAGAACTCCGACGTGGCTTCCACTGCTGCTTCAAGACCCATTTGATTGCTTAATCTGTAGTATTCAAGAAACTCCAAGAATTACGAACAAACCCCTTTCGATCTCTATGTAATTTGGAGATGAAAAGAAGAAGTAATTAATTACCTAGGAGACAGGAAGAACGGGACGGGCTCTCGACTGAAAGTAGGATGAGGGATGCCTGCTAAATTACAGCTAATGCTGAGATAAACTGGTTTGCTTTCTTTCAAAGCTGTTGAGATGGCAGTATCAATCAGTTCATGTGCATCTTCTAAGTTATTCACGACTGCCTACAATTCAAAAAGGCCCACGCACCATAAGCTAAGCCACCAATGATCAAACCAAACTTGCTAACTGTTTCAAACGAACCTCATACAAATCAAATAGAACCAAGAAGAGGAGGGTTCCCAAAATTTTGAGTCGGGGACCCACAGGACCGTTTGGGTCTACATGATTTGCCAGGATCCTATTATGTTGGATAGGACCCAAAATCTATCCTTGACAAGGGGACACGTGGCAAGTTAAGTCCCCGGTCCTCCTACGGCCATGGTACCCCACCACAGCCAAAACGGTACCGCTGCCATAGAAGAGCAGAATGAAAGACAAAAAAGAGGGGGAACTTTGGGTTCTACCTGAAAGCAGGTAACGGTCTGGAAGCATCGAAGCTCTTGACACCAATCCGGCAATCCGATCGTGTGGTGAAGAACTCTATTAGTGCCATAGTCGTTAGAATTTGGGCCACCGACGATGCAGATGAGGGGGAGATTCTCACTGTAAGCACCGGCGATGGCATTGAGGATGCTGAGGCCACCCACTGTGAAGGTGACGACACAGGCACCAACGCCGCGACACCGGGCATAGCCGTCAGCAGCATATCCAGCATTGAGCTCGTTGCAGCAGCCAATGAGGTTGAGCCCAGGCTCGGCTATGAGGTGGTCGAGTAGGGTTAAGTTGAAGTCACCGGGAACGGAGAAGACATCGGTGACACCAATCTGGACGAGTCGACGAGCGAGGTGCCGGCCGAGTGTCGACTCAGACGATCCAATGGCGGCAGATGAGACCGAGTTCTGGACGGGCACGACCGCGCCGTGGTGTGGGAGGCAGCCCACGTCGTTGCTAGCAGGTTTGAATCCGTTGATAGCTCCGATGTCATTGGAATAGACAATGGCATCAAAGATTGGTCTTTTGGGAGAGTCTTGGGAGGGTTTATCGGATCCATTATTTTGAGAGAGTTTTCGTTTGGGCGGGTACACTGCGAATGCTGCCGTGTGACCGTTCTCCATCTTTCACAAGGTTGAGGCTTGAGAGTTGGGAGTTGGAGGGTTTGAGTGAGTTGTCGTGACACTTGAAACCGCAGGAAGCCCTGTATACAATTTATATGGGCTTTGGCAGTTAAAAAACCAGGGGCAGTGGCAGTTTTAGAAGGACAGAGCGACAGAAAAAAACCGGGGAGCTTAATTAAACTCAAAACTTAAGGTAAACGTAGACATAGGCACCATGAATCTGGAATTTCTGTTTTTGATACTTTGACCAATTGTAGTATCTGTATATCCCTTCACATTTTAAAAACTTGGTTTGATTAATAATAAGTGGACTTGTATGTATGATGTTTGTTAGATATATATCCTTCATGCGCTGTATTCATCTCTCTCTCGACTCTCGAGAGTCGAATCCCTCTCGGATCTACTAATCTTGGATTATCAAAAATTAATAATATTATTAGGGTGATGGATGTTATACTCTATCCCAAATCCAATACTTAAGTGGGTGGAATCTTCTAATGCTAGCCTATCAATAGTCAGAAAAGTTATACAGACCGTATTTTCTTTTTCTTTTTTACTTTGAAGCAAAAGTGGAGAGTGGGGGAGGATTGATAATATTAGTAAGATGAAGGTAGATAAATTTGTATTTTGTAGTGTATTTTCCTACACCATGATGAGGTTCTATGTTAATTGTCAAGTGTCACGATGAGGGTGGGTTTTTCTTTTGTTCTTTTTTAATATTTTCCTGATGGGTGGG